TGCTTGCTGTCTTTTGTTCAAAAGGTTTTTCAGAACCAGGACAGGCAAGGTGTTCAACAGTTAAAAGGTATGATCAAGTTTGCGTCGTAAAATAATTTTATATACATGTACTGACCTGTTATAATATACAAATTCTGTATATTACTGTTTTAACATAGTGTTGACTTGGGTCAATGTAGTCAATATGGTTTTGTTCCGACAGGAGGTAAATCCATTGACAAGTGTGACGTTCGTTTGACATTGCGAGATGTATAGATACGCAGTTACGTTCGGCCTGAAAGGGTACTTAAAATCCGATGCCTCAAGTGGAAAGATTGTCACACTGTTTTCACGTTAATGAAAGCCTATCAACAACTCTCTGAGGGATGCTTTGGTAATCTATTGCAAGGGACAATTACTGTACCTATCTAACATACCAGTGTTTTCAGTGACAGTCCATATCTCCCGCCCTTCATCCTTGTCGTTTCACCTTATAGAACATACCTCTTGTATTTATTGTAAAATATAGTTTCTCGTCTTGAATATACATTAAGTAATTGCTACTTGGCGTTATACAAACAAAAATCAATAAAATATTACTTCTATAGCACAAATTTTTCCTTTTAGAACTTTACCAGCCGAAATAAAATCCCGCCTATCGTGATATTGAGCAATACACAAATACTCCTGATCTTGACCAATGTCAACAAAAATAGTATACAAATTCATACATTAACACGAAAAAAAAAACCCACTTTACTATTGCTTCAATCTTTTAATTAACGAATTGATATTTACCCCCCAACCCCTTTTTTCTAAAAATAAATGAAAAATACACGACACAGAGATTGAATTATATTAGACTACATTTGATTAATACGTTTATCCATAACCCTGTTTTGCTATAAAATAAAAGAATGGAAAAAAAAATCTTCAATATGTAATTTTTATAAATTACATGCTCTAAAATGCTGAACACTGCTGAATGCGAGTTACACTAAGTTTTTAAACTTATTTTCTTCAAATTAATATTAGGTTTATTAAAGCCTTAACAAGGAGGCAAGAGTGTGGAAAACACGTTTTGGTGATCAAATAAGAGAGCCACGATGAGCATTTTGGCGTTTTGGCAATGGTGCAGAGGGTATCACTAATCTTGTAATTTGATTAGAAGATAATAAATCAAAATTTTTTGGAAGCCAGATTCTGCCTAACTCGTGTTATCTATTTAACCGCGTTGTCTCCTTTAAAAAAATAAAGACGACATTGCAAAATTGGCCGCATCCGGCTTCAATACAATGCATATGGAAATGATTTGTAAAATATTTTTTGGACACTTAATTATGATTCAGTTTATATCTCTTTTTAAGTGCACAGTTTTATGGGAAAACAACATATTATATGAACTATTTCTGTTGCCGGAATTTCGAAGAGAGAAATAGGAAATGCATTGGTACGTACAAATAAAATTGAGAATGGAAACGGGAAATGGGTAAAAAAAAACAGCAACCCAAGGCCACCAAGGGGTCTTCAACACATCGAGAAAAACCCGCACCCGGAGTTTGGCACATACAAAGTATCTAATGAAAATAATTCATACTTTTAGGTAAAAACATTTTAAATAAAGGCAATAGTAGTATAGCGCTGTTCAATAGTCATACATCGATTTAACTGAAACAAATCCGGGTCACAAATCAAAACTGAGGGAAACACATCAACTATAAGAAGAAAGAAAACGGAACATCAGAAACATTGAACTGCTACAAAAACAAACGCCAACATACATCGAAACGGACTATGTGATTACAACTACCATATTCCTGACTTGGTACAGGACATTTTAAGAAAAAAATGGTGGGTTGAACCTGGTTTTATGGCTAGCCAAACCTCCCGCTCATATGGCAATGTTAAAAATACCGCTAAAATGACAACATTACGTGACAGGAATACAGCACAAATAAATGCAAGAACATTCAGGACAGAGAAATACATAAATAAATAATATAATAGTACATTTCAACATGTAAACCACAGAATAACAACGAACACCTTACATTAAATAAACATTGTTTATGCAATTACAAGGGAAAATAATCCAGTGCATTCTAATTATTTTGTTTTCTGTTGATGGTAAAACCGTTTTAATCCTTTTCGTAGATGTACATGTATATATGACAATATACAAGTCGATAACGCAGTAATCATCATTCGGCATATATGTTTTACAGGCTTAAAACTCGATCAGTGTTTGAGTTTATCGTTAAATTATGCGAATGTGTTAGCGAAAGCTGGAAACATAGCGTCTATGGTTTAAACAACGCTTTAGAGATCCCTTAGAATATATAAAACTTCTTCAAAGAAAATAAGGAAAAAAGACAGTTCTTAGTATTATTCATTTGTTTTCTGGATGTAAATCATTTAATGTCTATTTGAATAATAAGGAAAAAGCCATGATTATGATTATATATAAAGTAAAAAACTTAGACGAGTACAAACAAAATCATATTGGAGATCCTGATTAGTTACCATCAACAATATACTATTTAGAACTGAATGCTTCTTTGTGTAATGTTACTGGAGTTGGTAAAGCGCTGACTGATGTACATGTTGTACAAGTGTGAAACGCGGAAGATCTTCATACTACAACTGAGTGCACGATCAGCGCCTTTACAACCCTATAAAATTACGAAAATAATCATGCAATTCTTATAAGTACATGTATTCTTATGCTTCGAGTTATATCAAGCTTTTGATTTGTTTACTTATGCATTGTTGTGACTTTGTCGTGAGAATCACGTATATATAATATTGGAAAGTTTCGTGATTGTTGTCTACTAATCAATATTAAAGATTCTAATGAAACAAACATGTCCATAAAACAACATCTAAAGGGAAATAAGTAGTATGCATAGTTAATCTTTATAGAATGTCAAAGAGGGTTTACAACTTCAAATGGAGAACCTTGTAAACCATGTACGACAAATAAATTCGGGAACAAATGTGCGCATACATGTCACTGTACAAAAAAGGAAAGGTATGTACTGAATTCAATCTTTCTAACGCCTTCTTTTTCAGATCTTCTTTTTCAGAGAAAAAGAAACTGAACTGTTTCTTTTTTTAGGACTGATATAAATCACAGCGAAATGAATAAAATATTTGAGGCTCATGTGTCTGCCTATTTCAATGGCGTTCACATAACATCTAGTTTTTGCCATTCTTAAAACATGTAAATTTAATCGCTGATATTTTTATCATTATTACGTGAAAGTAAAACAGTTTTTTTGTCATTGTTCTGGCTAATAACTTAAATTTTGTATTGTCTCTCTTTAATATGCATACCCAGCAGATATACCGTACACAAATGTAAACAGAATCCAAGGGACAATCAAAACCTACAAATCGAGGAAAAACGACAAATACATATTATTTCATATAATGTCAAATGTAATGGTTTAAAATAGAGTAAATCCATGGACAGACAGTTAACAATAACGTGTACAATGTGTTTACACAAAACTAAAATAATTCGAAATACATGTTCATAATATATTATATAGTCAGTAATACTTTACGTGGTGAACAATGAAGTCCATTGGCTTCAAAATTTTATAACCGTTTAGTTAACGTTCACATCCTTATTTTGTACCGCCTTGGTTGTCTTGTGGTGGCGAGCTCGAGGTGAGCACGGCAAGTCATAGGTTCTATTCCATGTCATGGTCAAACAAAATAGTTTGCAAGTAGTATTTGCTGCTTCTCCGCTCAGCATGTGCATTAAAAAGTTTGAGCAAATATTGGTCAGCTCGGAGTCCAGAAAGGATTATATGTCTTTATGTGGACTGTTGCCCTGTAATATAGTACGTTAAAAAATCCGGCTCAGCGTGTCGGTCTTGTACACAGTAGGGTGTGAAACCAAGTGTGTTTAAATGTTGACGAACTACATTGTAATTTGTTTCGTACGTTTTAGGTGTGATAGTAGACAAGGATGCGTGCCATTGCACCCAGAAATTTCGACTAAAAAATGAAGGTATTGTTTTATGTGTATACTCATCATTGTTAATGTTATAATTGCATATAGTTTTTGCACATTTTGTTTTTAAAAGAATGTCACATTTATTTCAGAAATTGAAAAGAATAAAACTATAAATCCATACATTTTGTAGAACACTTACAAGTAACTGAATAAGACAGATTCCTGGGACAAGTCGAAAGTACTTACATAAACAAACAAAATCAAACTAAGATGAATGTGTGAAATCAGCATGCAGTTCATAGAAGACGTCATCATTGAAAATGTATTAAATTTGATTGTCAACCACTCTAACAGAGTTAATTCAAATCAATAACAAATTTAGGGAGAGTGACAAGGTCCCGGCACATTAACGAATGATTAAAACAATTTATTGGGGAGTCAGTAGACGGTCTATTGCAAGGCAAACGTTCTAATCATATCCAAGCTACCTCAATTTACCAATGAAAGCGACGAAATTCCTTATTTCATCCTGCTAGACCTACCTGCAGATTTATTCGCTGAATTAAATGTGTATGTAATATAAACCTTAATATGTATATAATATTTGCCACTGGACGTTGAGTAAAAAAACAATCAATCAAGCAGTTAGTTATAACATATTATTGAACCTTTCATCTAATGATACGACAGTTGCACAAGTTCATATTTATTCGTAAATTGAATGGTCAATTGCAGAAAAAAATATCATGCTTGTGGATTAGAATCTGCTCCTTGAGTATGACACTCACATGAGAACACAATACCGTAAATTGCAGGAAAGTTAATATGGAAATCATCCCTTATATCTTTGGAGTCGGTTCCACAAAAAAAAACTTACGACTAAGATTGATCGTAATTATACTGAATTGTTCATCACTTACAATCAATCTTAGTCGTAAGTTTTTTTGTGAAACCGACTCCTGATTGTTAATTTCTTATGTATTTAAAGACAAACAAAAATCATTTTGAACTTTTTTTCATTTATACATGTATGCATTGTGTTCTTTGTTTTAAGTTTCTACATTGATGTATGATAACCAGCAAACAACCTTACCCATAAATGTTTCGGGATATACTATGAATATTGTTTACAGTAAGCTATATTGTTCAAATATATATAATTTCTTATTTATGCAATTCGGTATATCAGGTGTAGGATTCTAATGCTTTGAAATCTGCTAGATGATATAATTTCTTGAGCTATAATACACACGATTGTGCTATGAACTATAAATATATTTCTTTAATTTTTAATTTTTCTGGTTTGATAGCGTTCTGTCGGTCAAAAGTAGTGAGGTCTTGCACAAGTACGAACATGGCATCAGTTACATTGTTTAATTTTGTGAATGTTGTATTCTTCAAGTAAATGAAAGTTCGATTGTTTCTTTATTTAACGATTTGTATAACTGTAAACAAATATTCTACAGAAAAATATATTACACTATTAGGTATTGAACGTAAGTTTGGTAAGTCTCGTATGTATATATGTGTCACTTAAAACTATTTCACAATTGAATGCATATATATACATGTACATATCTGTCCCACAGAGTTAAGTTAGTTGCACTGTAATGTCTTATTCACAAAATATAGTTCGTAATGCTTATAAATCTAGTTGAATTGCTATGATCTCAAAACAAACTAATTAAACAATAACAATGTTGCTAATCCTTCCTTGTAACTGCCAAGGACAATGTGGATAAAATATATTGCAAATTGTTCATGCTTTTGTAAAATATTGTTTAAATGGACATACATCTACGCGTTTAGCATTAATTGATTTTTCTCTAAATTACAATACGACATTTGTAGTGTGCTAAAAAGCCCTCTTCTGATTTAAAAAAAAACAAACTTTTACGAACTTTATATGGCGAATTAAATATGTTCCCCTTTAAGTAGTGATCGGTGTCAAACATTGGAATTTCCAGATTCATCCCTCAAGAACTGTCAAAGCGACTCGTTTAAATTGCAAATCAATTGTCGAAAATCGGTAGGCAATAATTTAAATCAAGTTTTTTTAACCTCATAAATTGATTAAGAATACAAATAATAATAATTCCGTCACCAACAAACAGCTCCTTAATGCAGAGAAAACACACGACTTCAGATTTGAAAAAAAGTTGTTCACACTGAAAAAAAACGTGAAAGAAGCGGTATTGCGCATGAACTAACAACGCAAAACTTTCTATGAACTTGACTAAACACATATCATAGAAACCGCGCTGTTACTAGTCTTCGTCTCAAAAGATGTCATGAGGTGTTTCAACTTGGAAAAAGCTCACACATCAGTGCAAATTTAAGACAGCCATTAGTACTTTTGTGTTATTTATATAACGGCCAGTTGAACTTCTCCCATTGACAGTAAAATGTAGGCCAAAGAGGACATGCATCTCATTCGCTGTTCGGGATGTATAAATATACAGGCACGTCAAGTCATAATACAGAAATACATATGATTCCTCGTGTCAGGAGTGTGCCACAATCTCTGCAAGTTAAGATACAGTGAGACCACTAGAGGTCCGTAATGTGGTCATTTTAGCCTTAGGCAAAATATCCACCCTATCCAACATATCCTATGGTGTAAAAGTAGTCTAACAATGTCAGCACCTCTTTATAATGGAGCAATTGTGCAGAGCCTGCATGATATATTATGTGTTATTTTTTTTTAATATGAACTATTTGCTACTGGCTGTTATCAAAACAATTTCAAAATCAATCAATCAATCTTCCTATTTTTATATCTAAATTTGAACAAGATTTTTGTCCGCCTACTCCTTATACACCACTGATGTGTCAGATTTTAAGTTTGATACATTTGTATATTGTATCTCAAATACTTCGATTGGTGTTTGTTGTTGGCTGTTATTTTCAGTTCGTTGTTTTCATTTTCTGCAATTGTATTGTTTGTTTGTTTTTTTACTATGTTTTGTTTTTACCGCATTGGTATAACACCTCCCTTATGCTGCACATAAATATAAACAGTAAATACAATTGTAAAGTTTCATACTTCAGATCAGTCCAATTTGGGTTAATCCCTTGATAGCATGTTAGATCCGTTAAATTGAAATTGTGCGTATAGCATCTCACGAAGAAACGAAGAAGGAGTTCGTATAAATGTTTGAAATGTAAAATATAACGAGTGTTACAAAACATTTCTACGCCTAACTACGTGTATGATATGAGGACATGCAGTAACTTAAAATAAATATACAAAAAAAAAAAAAAACAAACAAACAAACAAATACAAAAATTGTAAAAACATAAGATTTTAAAGTCCTGTTGTAGTATTACGTTTTCTTATAACTGTAAATACCGTTTTATACTATATAACATTACTCTTTTAGACGAAAGCCATCACACACCAACTGATGTATATGAAAATAAAACGGATAGTACAGAGGGAAATGGTAAGAAGAATAGTTATCATTTAGATGATATCAACATGATCAAGGTCGATGTTGTACCATTTTTGTCATTTGTAGTACAAATTTCCATCTTACCATATATGATCTTATAAAGAATAAAGTTATTTACTCATCAATGTACTTATTGAATAATTTCAGAACTTACATGAAAAATCTGCTTTAGGTTTCTGCTTTGCCTATATAGAATAATATTCCCAGCGTAGTGTAATTGTTTTCAAAACATTAATATTATAAGGGAAACACGTTCTGTTGAAATATGTATAATATAGAAAATCAATATTTCCGGAAAAGCGTGCCATTGCCTGGAAGTCAGGACAGCTGTTGTTTATTATATGCATAAAATCGTATAATATAAGCATTCGTCTTTGTTACATTTGTTTGTTTTTATAGTGATTAAGATGATAACACAATGTTGACTGCTGTACCCCTATTTTAGACATTTATACCTATTATGTCTGTTTGTTTTGTTCACGCATCGTTGTCAATATAATGGAATTTGATGCAACTGTCATACAAGTGAGAGGTTAAGCTAGCTATAAAACCAGGTTCAATCCACTATTTTCTACATAAGAAAATACCTGTACCAAGTCAGGAATATGACAGTTGTTATCCATTCGTTTGATGTGTTTGTGCTTTTGATTTTGCCATTTGATTAGGGACTTTCCTTTTTGAATTTTCCTCGGAGTTCAGTAGTTTTGTGATTTTACATTTGACCCATAGGTAAAATAATGATCACTATATTGTGCAAACAATGATTACTCATACATCAAATCGCGTAAACTGCAAATACAAATACATTGGTAACAAAAAATAACCTATTATACTTGATTAAGTTTTCTCCAGTATGATTTTTATTTTTCATTTTGTGTAGTGTCTCTCAAAAACTTCACACGGAAACCTCACAATCTAGACTTTTTCCCGAGAATCAAGTACAAAATTTCGTCTAAAGTTATCTTAGAAACGGTTAAAAAAATATCTGTGAATTTGGAGTCATGAACACTCCATAAAAAATCAAGTTCATCAGGAACAATTATTTTAGTAATCATTCAATTTCTATAACCATCGAATTTTGTACTTCAACTTCAAGCCATAACTATTTCTCTGGAAGGTAGATGTTAAAATGACAAAAATCATATTTAACTGCTGAAAAAAAATCAAATTAATTATCAGACCAGTTTGTCTAATAGTTCTATACTTATCACACGCAAAACAGAAAATCTTATTTTCTGCAATGATCAAAGACCAACACTTAGGAATGGCTAGAACGAAAATTTAAATTGTGTTGGGTCAGTTTTTGTGTACCCCAGCACATATAGTATGAACATGCACGAGCGTTACGTATACGTATCAATTGAGATACTAGTATGTAAACGCCATACGATGGTCCAGAAGGTATGCCATAACTAAAAATTGGAAGTTGACAATTTAAAGGTTGATATCATTAAGTTTGTCATAGATTTTAGTTTAAGGTCGTCAATCTTTATCAATTTCGTTGAATACGATATAACCAGCATATGTAGGATCAATGCACGTTTGCTAGAAAATAATGGTTATATACATTTTAGTGGAATTATTGATTTTTTTTCATGGTGATATGTCTACACAAACAAAATCTGTTATAGAAGTAATCCTCATTTTGATATATGTTGTGTGACCGAGATACAAATGGACAATTCAACTCATAAGACGAAGACAAAATGACATCACCATGACCATGACCAATCAAAGACAAAAAGACGAAAAAGTTCAAAGAACACTAGATAGAAAACAAAAGGGTAAGCGGCTGTAAACTATTTTATAATTGTATGCTTGGTATTACAAAGGTTTATGATCTGTTCTTGTATGAAGTTGTGTTTTCTTTGTTTTTACTTGTGTAAATGTTCTTTGTTGTAGGTGAACGTATAAATGACAGTGATTATATAAACTACGTGATCTGGATTGGATGTATTCTATTCATAATCCTGATTGTCGTAAGCAGTAGTATATGCTATATCTTGAATAACAATCTACTACTGAAACATTCCGCAAATGTCAAAAGTATACTACAAGACAAAGAAACAACTGCAGGTGTTCTTAATCGGCCTGAAAGCGTCACAGGACCATGTGACATAATAAATGAGCAAACTTTGTATCTAGATCATGCAATTGAGATACAAGTGGTAACCGGAGAAGCTTTAGGCAAAAATAGCAATGAGGATTGATATAAAAAATTGCAACATTCCACAATAATAAAAAAATAACAGGTGGTTCAACAAATGACCAGAAAACTATGATGTGCATGGGTATTACACGGTTGCACTACCTCAACCAGCGACTGCACACATTATCAGATACTGTGAGCCCCTAGACCAACGATCAATAAGACAGATGGTGTTAATTCTCATGAGACTTAATGTTTTACTTTATGCAGTTGTAGTCTTTTCATTATATAGTTTTGTGCAAAATGTTTAATTATTTAGCTTACAAATTAAAGTGAATATTATAGATATATATATATATATCTTTAATAATAAAATATTGAATTCCACATTGAAGCTATGATGATAAAGGTTACTCACACAGCACAGGATAAGAGTTATAGTGTATGAAATTGAGTATTAGTAAATTAGAAGACCATTACCAAATCTTTAGTTCCGTGTATATAAAAAAGAAGATGTGGTATGATTGCCAATGAGACAACTCTCCACAAGAGACCAAATGACACAGAAATTAACAACTATAGGTCACCGTACGGCCTTCAACAATGAGCAAAGCCCATACCGCATAGTCAGCTAAAAAAGGCACCGAAATAACAAATGTAAAATAACTCAAACGAGAAAACTAACGGTCTAATTTATGTACAAAAAATGAACGAAAAACAAATATGTAACACATCAACAAACGACAACCACTGAATTACAGGCTCCTGACTTGGGACAGGCACATACATACAGAATGTGGCGGGATTTAACATGTTAGGGGGTCCCAACCCTCCCCTAACCTGGGACAGTGGTGTAACAGTACAACATACGAACGAACTATAAAAATCAGTTGAAAAAGGCTTAACTCATCAGATTGCTACAAATAGAAATACATCTAACAAAAACACAGAGTGGACGTGGCCGGGTACTTGTATATCCGAACAACAAAATGACACTAAGTACTGATCTGAGAGTACTCGCAGTTACTTACAGCTAGTTCAAAGCCACTAACAACTAATACAAAAAAATCATGCATCAAAGACTAGATTATCAATCAGTACACATCCAACTTCCAATGGATTTAGTGTAAAGACGTCTTAAACAGTCCGAGAAAAACATGACCTTGTGCAATGCCAAGATACAGGTATCGACAGATTGTAGGTCCACGAATGTGTATATGTATATAACAATAATATTTAGTTTGCTTTTAATTTACTGATAACAAAACTAATATTAATACCAATAAAACAATATTCAATGATCTAATTACAGTGTTGAATTGGTAACCTTTTAGAATAATTTTATTTCAAGGATCGATAAGTTTACCAGGATCGTTTCTAAATTTCCGGGCACGGTAAACACCATTTTCGTAAAAATGAGAATGTGCTATCCCGTTTGAAATAAGTTTTCTACAGGTACAACCAAACTTCAAAACCAAATCTGTATATCTATGGAAGAATTTAGTAAAGGTTTTAAGTAATTTGTGGTAACGAAATCCCTGGCTTATGTCTGTTGTGACGTTGAAATAAAAAAACGTCACAACAGACACGAGCATAGCGAACTAGTTTTGAAATATAAACACAGTAAGATGGTGCCAGAGGAACATCACCATCCAAAAAGGTTAAATTAACAATAAGGAACGAAAAATCTTCCCTTTTGTCGTAAATTTTAGTGTGGAATTTCCTGTGTAAAACCCAAATATTTAAATCTAGGAAAGGACAGTTATTACCGTTTAAATTTGATTATTTTAAGTAAGTACCTTTTGGGTAAATTTCGGCAGTATATTTAGAAAATTCTTGATTATTTAACAAAAAAATATCATCAAGATACTTTTTTGCCTTGTGATTTGTTGTGTGAACTGTTTTTGTGTATATCCGTTACCTTTTACCATGACATTGGCTGTCTTTCATCATCATAATATTATTATGTTGCCATGGATGGTACTGCTCATTTGAGTTTATTCTAGTTATTTTCAGTTTTCCTAATATAACTACATTTGTAATTCCATTGAACATTATAAAAGAGAAGCGAAATATCTCAAAGGGACTTTCAAACTCACATGGGAATAAACAAGCATTGCCATGGCAAAAACGAAAAAAAGACCAACAGTAAACGGATAATTAACTAAACTAAATATTAGGACCTTATGTCATGTATGTCGAGCATTTTGTGATAAATTGTGCAACGGTTAGATTGAATAACAGAACCGTATTTAGTTGTACAGATATTGTTAAGACGAGAATCGCAGCATTTAATGGACTCGTAATTTAATTTGGCGTATATTACATTACATACGGAACATCAATAAAAAAAAAAATTATTATTTACATTTAAACCATACATAAAAAGACACATACTATTATTAGTTAAATGCTTACATCGATCATGTATACTAACTGTAAACATAAAGAATACCGATAAGTATGGGACATTTCTTGTTTCGTAGTTTTTTTGTTGATAAACCATGATAAGAACTCATAACGTATCAAAAAAAAAAACAAAAAAAAAAAACATGCTGATTTGAATTCTCCTTATCTTATGACATGTAACAATTTAGAGTTAAAAGTACACTTTTAATAATTTTTTGTTGTTGTTTGGACTGTTCATTTGTACTTGGTTCATCTACACTTAACCTAAGGATGTTTGCTTTTTCTGTTTTTTGACCTTTTGTCAGATATTCGTAATCCTCCAGTTTTATCCGTGCAGTGCCAATATAAATTTTATCCGCTAGCCCCAACAAGTCTTTTAATAATCTTATAACATATAATTTAAATAGCCATTTGTGAAAATCTTACAAAATCCTTGTTATTTTTTCATAGTTTTTGAAAGAAAAAAAGGTGACAATGTTAAATGAGAATCATTTCCTGTCAAATTTTAATTGAATATATCTCAAAACAAATGACGCTGACCTGTCATTTCTGTGTGTTTTTAATTCCGTTATTTATATGAAACCAGTTTGGAATAGTCTTTTAAAAGGCTAGTTATTTTGAAACAGAGGTGCGAACATCCTTACCTCCAGCTGAGGTAAAATTTAAAATGAGGTATACGAGACTGTATTGTATCTTCATAATCCAGTGGTGTCAATGCCTGTAATGATGAAGTTACATGTTGACGAATTTCCACATTTCATTTTCCAAAACAGTAAATCGTAGGAACAGAAACACTACAGGAAAAAAAACATATTCACAATCAATACTTGACCATGACCATGGATTACCCAGGTACTTGATTCCTTTATTGTTTACATCAATAAATGAGTTGTAACAATACTCAGTCATTTCCTTAATCAATTTGAAATGAATTTTAATTGAGACATGTTGGAACCAGGAGGGAAAAATGACGACCCTATTTCAAATGACAGGAAATACATATTAAGTTAACCATACAGGAAGTGATAGGGCAATGTACCATCAATTTGATGCAAAAATCAATAATAAGTCAATTATCGATCAATTTAAATATTTTATCAGATTCAGTAATCACAAAATATATGTTTAGGTCTGTAGCGTATGTTCAAGTATCAGGTTTAACCTTTATTGCGGCCTTTAAAATCTCAAATTTTAAACGCAAATTAGTGTTTTGTTATCTGTATATTTGCTGAAATTATATTGAGCAAACCGACATAAATGTTATATAAAGTATTTATAAAAATACACCGAATTTACAAAAAATAATGTGTGAGGAGCAGGTGTGAATAAGTGAGAGGAGAAACCTACAAATGTAGGTGCAAAATACATGTTTAATCCATACGTTGATTCTCGTTCATTGGGTGTGAATTCGCAATCGATGATGACAAACCAAGGAAGTTAAGTCGATATAGTATATACTAATGTACAAAACATGGAACCTTTTCGTGGTCATCTTAGACAAAAAATACTATAAGGTATAACCATTTGATGATTGCTTCAGTAAACTTTCGAATGGTGAACTTCATCGTTAAAAACCAATGCCGTAAAAGCTTCATTGTAGGCCACACTTAACTGTCATGGAGGATCGAGCCCTGGAATATTGTTTCAACTGTGGTTTATATACATGATATACTCGATGTGCCGGTTTTAAAATAAGACTTGTCCCTTCAGAGAACAATATGTTAATAACTGCGTTGATCATTGTGTTAATGAAACTAATTAAAAAAATAACGTCTCAATATTTGTAAAAAGTAAAATCGCAAAAAAACTGAACTCCGAGGAAAATTCAAAAAGTTTATAATGATAAATAAGTTTGTAAATTAACACAAATAATGCTATGCTGCTGTACATTGAAAACATAAGGTCATTAGCTGATTCAAATTGTAACCCGTGTTGGTAATGTTTCTTTTACGTGTAGTGTGTGCTGATTTTAAAGAATTATGTAGTTCCAATCCAATTTACTGCTCTTAAATTATTGTGTTCCCGTACCAACATTTACCAACAACTTTTTCATATGCAGTACCCCAAACATGACACATATTGTATAAATTCATTAATCACATTTCATAATAGGGAGAACCCGTGCAGGAATAAAAGTAAACTAACGTCTAATGAAGGCAGTATTATCCAATCCTTTTAGATATAATTCAAATATCCAATTCTGTATCAAATGTTAACAACTTAAATCATCAAATCATCAAAGCTATAGGAATACGTAAGAAAAAAAAAACATCGTTCATATTATTGTCCTTTCATTTGCCTGGACTCAGCAGTAAGGATTCTTACATGTATAAACTTTCAAAAATTATAATTTATCAAGGTTACTGATACAACATGTGGCTTTAGTAAGGTACACCGTTTAGGTCAAAAGGTCATGTTTAAATTCTTTTTAGTTCATCAGGTAACATTCAGCAGACTTGGAAGTTTATTTTTCTAAAAATAAACCTTTGCTAAATGACACAAAAAGAGTCACCAAGTTGCCTTACGAACCCTTTTGACATTTGCCAAGGTCATGAGGTCCCATTTTAAACAATTTGGAATGGTCTATTTTAACAATAAACCTGTGCAAAAGGCTAAAACCCTTTAAATCGAGTGGTCCGGTCACAAGGTCCCCCGACAAACCCAATTAGGGAAATTCTTTCAGGTCATCAGGTCATTTTAAAGCTAATTTTACAGGTTTATGTTGAACAGCATCAGTAAAATAGAGTACTTTAGCGTTTCACTCCAGTACAAATGTTTTATATGTCATGTATAATTAACCTCAAGGTCACTTAATAAAGAAACTAATTATATGTCGAAATTCCGCGTACTTCCTG